GTCTGTCAGAAAGTCGTTGTGGATTAGGTCAATTCATGCAACTTCAATTACATTATAGAATCCATAATGCACATCCAGTTCAATATATTGTAAGTAGGGACACTTAAAAATATTGTAAAGCATATAGATATTTAATTCCTGAATTTATGCAGGAGGCACGTGTGTAATGGATAACACATCGGTCAGATCAACTGAAGATGCTAGATCGTAGTCCTGCTCGAGAGTCTCGGTTTCCGTGTCGAGAAATTTCTCGGGGTTTTGAACGTTTCGGTCTCTATCTCGGTGTTTTAGTCTCGGAAAACGGGAAAAATTTACACCCCTGATTCCAAAAGAAGTGTGTGGTTAGGTAGTTAAGTTGATGGACCTTGAGATCTTTTAGCAGAGGGTTGGGTTCGAATCCATTATTGGAAAAAATGCAAATCGAATCCTGGACGTCCTGGCATGGTTCGATTCAGCTCGTCAGGGCGCATCGAACCATACCAGGGCGCCCCGGATTCGACAATTTTGAACGCAGCTATAGCCCCTGGTATCTATCACCTATCACACCGCGACCGTAACTATTGAGTGGGAATTTTAAAATTTTACCCAAAAATCAGTTGTTAAATTTAAAGCCGAAATGGAATCACATTTTATTTTAAATATTTCTATTTATTTAGCCAATTTCTTTTCAATGTCCAATTGATCAACACAACCATCTAAATAACATATTAGCGTCGATTTATAATTTACTTTTATTTTTTGATGGAAATGTTATTTTGCATGTGAATTGTAACTTTGGAGGAAATCATGTATATAATCCTCAACAAATTCTTCTCTTTAATTCCTTTAATGAATATCAAAGACAATCAGAAATTATTAATTTGTTAATTAATCATTACCATAATTTTGAAGAATTATTTCATCATCATCAACACAATATTCATCATAATAATAACCAAAATTTAGTTCATATCCCCCCTCACCCTCACCACCAAGGTCAAATAAATTTAATATTGAATCAAATAATTGAAGGGAATAATTTATTAAATAACATGTTACTACAAATTCAACACCATGGACATAATTTTTATCAACAAGTGGCTGCGGGAAATATAAACTTTCAGTTAATATTTGATAATTTCCAATGGCTAAACAATTTTTATTTACAAAATAATAATTTAATAAATCACATTAATGCATTAAATGCAGAATTACAAGCAATAATGAACCAATTAGATCAAGAAAATGATGACCATCAACAAAATCAAAATAATAATCAAGGCAAAAAATACTTATGATAGCCACCGGGCAGGATTGAACCTGCGACCTGCTAACATTTATCGCTAGGCGCTTTCGCTCACCATGTACAGGAGCTCTAACACTGAGCTACCGGGCAGTGATGGGAAAGTTCCAGTTCCGGAACCGACTCGGTTCCAGTTCCAGTTCCGGAACTGGAACCGTGGAACCGGTAATGGTCTGGAACCGGTTTGGAACTGGAACCGTGGAACCGACAAAGGTCCGGAACCGGTTTGGAACCGGAACCGTGGAACCGATAGATGCGTGGAACCGGTTTGGAACTGGAACCGTGGAACCGGCAAAGGTCTGGAACCGGTTTAGAACCGGTTCCGGAACCGATTCCAAAGATACACCCCTAATGATGGGTGAAAAAAGAGAAGTGAGCAAAAAGATGGGAGTCGTAAGAAAAAAAGAGAGAAAATTGAGACGGGTAAAAGAGATTTTCCTTCCTCTTCGTTGTAAGGGTGTGTGGTTGGCTGGATAGTGTGTTGGGTTCGTAGTTTTGATGACTATCTGGGTATTAGGTTCGAACCCGGACTTAATAAATGAATAATTAGTAAATTTTTTGGCTTAAAGATCTTCCAAAATTTTTACATGGGGCGCTGAAAAAGAAATTTTTTTCCTTAAGGATCACCCAAAATTTTAAAATTTTCGCCTGCGGCGCTGAAAAAGAAAGATTTTTGGCTTAAGAATCATCCAAAATTTTCAAAATTTTTGCCTGCGGCGCTAATTGGGGAAGTTTTGGTCTAAATAGCAATATCCTACTTCGGCTCCGGATCTGCAACTAGAATTTGATTAGTGATATCCGTTCAACTGATATTCGTTCAAATGCCTGATATCCCCTCTATCCCTTCAAACCATTAATCCTTCAATATCCCTCTAAATCACTGATATCCCTTGAACCCACCCTTAATCCCTCATAAACTACTTATACCTAACCTCAGACCGACAGACCGTGAAACCGGCAAACCCTATTATTGATACATCTTATTGTTAACAGTTGATTACATTATTAATTCATTGATATGCCCTTATTTATTAAAAAAATAAATTTTTTTTCATTAAAATAGCTAAAAAAATTTTGGAACTGGAACTGGTTTGGAACCGGTTCCAGAACCGGAACTGGAACCGCCAATATTAAAAAAGCAGTTCCAGAACCGGAACTGGAACTGCCAAAATTAAAAAGTCGGTTCCGGAACTGGAACCGCCAAAATTAAAAAATCGGTTCCGGAACTGGAACTGGAACCGACGAAATTTAAAAAGCAGTTCCAGAACTGGAACCGGTTCCAAAGAAATTTTGGAACTTTCCCATCACTGCTACCGGGGCATCGACTAATGCTTTCTCTTTTATCCTTTTAGCTCGTTTAACCTCCGCCTAAGCATTTTAAATGCTCTAGGTGAACCATCTTTACATATGTAACATGAGGCGTGTCCGACCCTAGTCCTTCCATGGACTAGGACAACCGGAGCCTTAGGCGAACCTTACCTATTTAATATTCTCCCCAATCCTATCCCCCAATATTACACATAATATAAAGGGATTATGGTACTTTTCCGTTCTGCCACACCCCCCTAAATTAATGTTCAAAATGTCATATATTGGGTAATAAAAGGTGCTGAGTCGAATGGTACCACTCTTTTTTCTCGGAGATGACTTTGGACCGAGATGAGGGATCGAAATGGTCAAAAACCATAAGGTGATTTTTGAGATAAAAAATTCTAAAATGCAAATAAATGCTCAATCGACAACGCTCATCGAGCTGAGTCGAAAAACACCAAAATCACCGTGATTGGATAAGTTTGGACAAAGTTACGATACAAAAATAACCAAGTAACCCTTTATGGGTCAATTTTCAAAAGCCTGTATCTCGGTGCAAATAGATCAGATTTCGTTGATTTTGACGCCTTTCGACTCAACTCGATGAGCTCTTTCGAATGAGCTCTTATTTTTGGGCCAAAAATGACCTTATGGTTTTTGACCATTTCGAGCTTTATATCTCGGTCCAAAGTCATCTCCGGGAAAAAAAGTGGTACCATTCGACTCAGCACCTTTTATTACCCTATATATGACATTCTGAGCATTAATTTAGGGGGGTGTGGCAGAACGGAAAAGTACCGGGATTATTCTTAATAAAATTTCGTTTTATTTTAGAACAAAATGATGAAGATGACGGCAATGATGATGACGGAGATAATGATGACAACAATTCGGTTATTACTGATGATAAGGTAAAAAGGCATGAAAAAATTATTAAAATTAATTCTTATTTAGTAGGACAAATGATTTAAAAGTTGAAGCATATTTAAACAATTATAGTAGTAGTAACAAATCATGGAGGAAATCATGTATATAATCCTCAACATGTAGAAAAAATAGAAAAACTTGTTTGACAATTTTTAAATATTATTTGAATTAGAGATCGGACTGGGAGGGTCGAACGAGAATCAAGATCTCTATAACCAAGATTTTTGATCGAGATCCGGTCTCTAATTTAAATATGTACTAGGGGTGTGCCGAAACAGATTTTAAAAAGCGAAAGGCGAAAGTCCAAAAAACGCGAAAATCCGCGAAACTGGCACACCCCTGATATGTAATCTTCACAAAAATATTGTTAAAAATTTTAACACAAAATTTATTAAAAATATTTTTACCAAAAAAAGTTAAATTTATTTCCTTCATTTAAATCGTTAATAAAATGAAAATTCAAAATAAAACAAAAAATATAAATCAAAAGAGGCGTTCTACAGGCGGCGCTTCAGGTGACAAACGAGGACGCTTTGCATGTAAATATGTGTTGCTATATTGGTGTAAAGCTGAAGTTGGAGAACCAAAACGATTTTTGCTTCCAACCAAATTGCTTTCCTTTAAAAATTAAAATTTTAGTAAAAAATATTTTTCTAAAATAAATTGCCTGATAATATCGAGAACTTGAAGCAGAAGCAAAATCACGTAAGCTCATCAAACTTCTCGAAGCACTTTCTCCACTCGAAGGTGAAGGAAAATATGGAGATGGATTTTTAGCAGAAAATGTTCCATAAGGATCATTAATACGCTAAATAAAGAATTTTTTAAATTCCAAAAAAATTATTAATTTTACATCAAATTCATTCGAAGAAAAATGTTGACGCCAAGATTCTCGTTCAGGCTTCAAATCACTCAATGCTTGAATTTTACTTGCAGACGAAGAAATAAACGAAGCTGTTTGTTTTTTCCAATTATTATTTTCTTCAACTCGAGGAGTGTTAAAATAATTAAGTAAAGGTGTTGGTTTATTATTTGTTGGTTGTTGAACAATTGGAGTAAATCGAGGTTGGTCTGATTGGGAATCATTCCACAAATGTTGCCCCATTCCTGGTGTTGTTAAAACAGAAGATACAACTTGTTTCTAAAAATATTAAATTTACTTAAAATTTTTTTAAAATTATAATCTTGCTTGTATATATTGTTGGAGCTGTTCATAGCCGGGATTCAATTTTGGAGAATCACCGATATCCTATATTTTAGTAGATTTATAAAAGATGAAGACAATAAGTGTTAATTTAAAAAAAAGAAAGGTACAAATGAGAAAAATTTTTGGGAAAAGGAAAAAATAAAAAATCTTCCCCATTATTAAATACTGATGTGAGGAGGAAAAGTAACCGAAAAAAAGAAATATAACTCCCATTAAAATTTATGGGTAAGGATAAAAAATGGCCGAAATTTTTCAAACAGTTATTCCGACTATTTATGTATCATAAATGCGTAATAGAAAAGCACAAAAAATATTTTTTACCTGAACTTTTGTCTGACGGCCAAGAAAAGACATCTCACGCTGCTCAGGACGATTAAAAAGATTTTTGGAATTTCTATAAAATTTAGAGACAGCATTAATAAATTCTCGATTTTTAGAGTCAATAAAATTCAAAGTTGGGAGCTTTTGATTCTAAAATAAAAATAAATTAAAATAAAAAAATAATTTAAAAATAAAAACCCATTTTTTCATATCTTCATCAAAAATCTTTAAAGAATCGTCACTAAAACCATCTCCAGAAGATCTATATAATTGCTGCAAAGTCTTAGCCTCCAAATTCTTAAGATGAAGCCGAATATCAGTCAAAACGTTTCCTCTAATTCTAAAAAGAAAAAAATTTTTTCGATTCGCTAGCCAAAAATTTTATAAAAAATAGTATTAGATAGTTAAAGTAGAAAAAATATTGTTATGTTTTGAAGTTAAAAAAAGTCTAAAATCCAATAGATGGATTAATAAATTATGCCGGATAAGTAGAATGGACAGCAAAAATTATTGTTGAATTTTTTAAAAAATTTAACAATAATTTTTTAAACCTTTCAAGAAAGTCAAGGATTAGTTAGAAAACAAATTTTTGGAAGAGTAATTAAATTTAATTTAACCCAAATCAAAAACTAACCTGTAGGGAGTACCTCCCCAACTAACACCAGTTATCTGATCAACATAAAATTGATGTTCCGATGACTAAAATTAAAAGAAAAAAATATTTTTTCTTTAATAAAATAAAAACCTTTTCAGGACGCCTTGCACCTTTAAAAATAAAAAATAAATAAAAATTCAAAAAAAAAATCTAAAAAAATACCAATTCTAACATAAAATCCTTTAACAACTCGAGCAAGTGTTTCCTTATCCCAAGACATCATATCAAATATTTTATTTTTAGACATTAAACATTTTCGGAACTAAAACAAAATTATTCTTTTTTTTATTTTTAAAATAAAAAAAATTTTTTTTTAGAAATTTTTAGAATAATTAAACAAACATTTATTGTTGTTAACTTCCCATCTTTTGTTTGCAAAGAAAAAGGTTCTCTCGTAACAATAACTTCGTCAGATTTATTTACTGAATTGTTATTACTTTCATCATTTTTAATTTTTGATACAGAATTTGAAACATTTAAACCATTGACAGGTAAAGACTTAAAAAATTTTATTTAAAGAAAATTTGTAAAATTACTTCTGATTTGTAAGGTTGTGGAGGTATTCCCAATACTTTTGTTAATTCATCATATTTTTCACTAACAAATTCATTTATGGGCAGAGGATCGTCCTAAAATTAAAAAGAAAAAATAATTTTAGAAAAAAAAATTAAAAAGGTAAGAAGGATCATTCAAACAATTTTCCATAAAAGAAAATTTCAAGGGAATCAAGAATCTTTTAAAGAATCTAATGGAACCGAACCGGAGAATTTCCTAGAACCACAAACATAGAGACGGGGAAAATTTTCAAATCCATTAATATTTCCCATTAAAAGATCAAAAAGAACATCAAAATTTAATTTAAAATAAAAAACTAAACCTCATCATTCTCATTCTTTTTAACCCATTCTTTAAATTCTTTTTCATTAATTTTTGTTGAACTCACAAGACGAATAAGTGCAGATAAAGAAACAGTTCCCATAAATTTTAATTCCAAAACAATATCCGCGGGCCTGTTCTTCTTTTGCTCGTTTAATTTGACACTCATAATTTTATCAAGCTTTAAAATAAAGGAATTAATCAAAAATTAAAAAAGAAAAAAACCTCAAAGCCAGTTTCAGAACCACCCGAAGATGTCAAACGAACAAAACAGCCCGTTAACAATTTAACTAAAGGTTCCGAATCCTCGAAACTACTCAATTTTTGAAGATATTCTCGAATTAAAACACAATTTTCCAAATCTTTTGCTGATTTAACAGCCAATTTAGCACGCTTAGCTTTTTCTTCTTCATCTTTCTGAATTCTTTCCAACTCCATCATTGAAGGTAAATTTTCTGATTCATTCAAAGCAAGTTGAAGTTCAGCCGCTTTATTTTGAATATCATCCAATGTCGGCAATTTTTCATCCTAAAATTTTTTTTAATTTTTCTCAGTTCAAAATTTTCTTTAAAAAAAATACCCAAGCCTTCATATCTTCAATCCAATTTCGAAATCCTTGTTCAGTAACTGTTGAAAAACTTTTCATCCAATTTATAATATAACGGCCATAGAAAGGCAAAACCAATTGATAATTAACTCTTGCAACGTTTTTAATTTTGTAATTACGAGGCCCTTCTACACAATCAAGAACTCGAACAATATGATATTGACAATCTTTTGGCTAAAATAAAATAATTATTAGGGGTAAATAAGGACCATGGATAAGTTATGAGGGAAATCAGAATCTCTATTTTAGTGTCAATTTCAAAAACTACAAAAAAATAAAAGGTTCCACCATGGCAATCATCAAGGGCGTAGTCATAGGGTCGATTTCTGGTGGGGGGCTATAGCCCAAGAAGCCCCTCTCTGGCTACGCACTTGGCAGTTATCCATCTGGCTTAAAATAAAAGAAAAACCTTATTTTTACGAATTGCTGTCATACAAACAAAACACCCAACAACTACTTGACGAAATCTTTCAAATCCCAATTTTGACAAACTTCGAAGAGTTGAAGGATTTAAAGCAATTTGTGACAGATTTGAACGTGTAAAAGTTATCTTTTGCTTGTCAAGTTCTTTTAAAGTTTGCTTGGCAGAAAGAGTATCCAATTGGGTATTAATTTCATTAGCTTTTTGGCGAACAAAACGAAGCGTTGGAATTATTTCACCCTTAAAATCGAATAAAAAATGAAAATTATGAAAGAATTTTTAAAATTAGATTTATACTATTGAACAACCAGGCCCGTAGCCAGGAGAGAATCCCCCCCCCCCCCCGGAATGAGGAAAAGGAAAAAATTTGGGGAAGGCTTTGGGCAAAAAAGTGAATTTTTTTGACCTACGGCCTTCGAAATTCTCAAAATTTCAGCCTACGGTGCTAAAAAATCAAAATTTTTAAAAAATTTTCCCAACTTGCCGCCCCCTTCGAAAAAATTCTGGCTCTATTGGCCTGTGACAAACAACAAAATAAAATTTTAAAATCAATAAGATTAGAGTAAACCCAGAACAACAAAATGTATAATACTGTTATCAAAAAAACTTTGTTCAAAACTCCTTAGCTTTTAGCATCAACTAAATTACAAAAACAATTTCTGGGAATCGTAAAGAGATATGTAATGAACAAATAAAATACCCAAAATTAAATATCAAAAAATAACCTTAGCCTCCATACAATCAAACCATGGACGAACATCACTATCATGATTGGCCTTCAAACTAACAATATTTTCAATTTCAAAATCACCCAAAAAGCGCAGTCGATAACGACGATCAATCCAAAGATGTTGGAAACTCAAAGGTTCGATTATATCGATAATTTGGTCGATCTTTAAATTAAAAAAATTTTTTAAATATAAGATAATAGTGAAGAATTGGGGATTAGATTCGTGATCAGCTTAAAGAGTGGTTTACTTTATAGGGTGGCCCCCTCCCGTACCTACGAGGTGGTCCCCCGCCCCTTATTTACAGGGTGGCCCTTTTGCCTCATTTGGATGGCATTTGCCTCCTTTTTGATCTTCTCGCCCCCTTTTTGGGAAGCCATGTCCCCTTTTGGTGATTTAGAAAGGTCCACCATATAAAATGATTTTCAGAAAAAAATTTTTTTAAGTCTATCCCCAATTCTTCCCCATTACCAAATTTAAAAAATTTAAAAAAAAACCCTTACAAAAACACGATCAGAATAATTTGAAGGTAATCCAGGAATGTTAACACGAACAAAAGCTCCAATCACTGTTTGTCGAAAAACATAAAGTTCTGAGGTAGCCAAAAGTTTCAATTGCCCTTGGGTTAAAATAATTTTCTTCATTTCTTCCGTGCTTTGAATTGGCTCATCCAGAGAAAGATCATTAGTAGAAACATCTGTTTCAATTATCTACAAAAAATTTTTTTCATTAAACAAAATTAAAATAACAACAATTCCTTCAAAAATGATGAATATATTTGAAGAGATTAGAGATAGAATTTAAATTTTTCTTGCAAAAAAAAATTTTTTTTGAGAGAGATTTTAGTTAAATTTTGAGACAAAAAGCAAAAGAAAATAAAAAGAATTTTAAAATTGAAGAAAGTCTATAAAGACAAAGCCTTGAAGACTTTTTTTTTATTTTTTGGGGTATTCATTGGAGTTTCACCGGAAGTTCCGGTTTCGAAAAGTTCCGGTGTTTTTTGGTTCCGGTTCCGGAACTCGTTCAAAATTTTGGTTCCGATGAAACACTAGTAGTATTCATGTCAAAATTTAAATTTTCTGTTAAGAAAAATATTTCTTTTCGAAAGCAGTTTATGTATGTGGTAAAAAACCCACTTTGATTTTACATAAGTATATGTGCTAGAAGAAAAATATAAATGATATGCACTAGAATTATGAGAACAGAATTGGATAAAGCAAATTAATAAAAAAAAATGTTCGGGTCAAAATTAATTTACAAATTACCTGAAGATCACTATCTCCTTGTATAGGCGAAGCATTAACTTCTTCCCTCATCTCCAATTCTGGAGCTTCTTGACTATTATCTAGATGTGAAGTTTCGTCAACAATTTCGATTGGTTGAGTAGAAGGCTCCTTATTTGGATTACCTTCATCTTTTAAAATATTTTCATTGACGTTGTCTTGATTTTTAGAATTATCAATTTCCATTAAGGAATTTTGTTTAATAAAATTTAAAATCTTAAAATTGAAAAAGGGACAAAAATGGATTTATTTTAAACAATTTTTAGTTTAAATAATATTTGTAGTTGTGGAAAAGTCTGATTTACATAGACGTTTAAGGAAATTCCGAGCTTTTGTTGGAAGCTCGTACAAAATTCGACTCGTACCTGTGTACATAATACGAGTACGAGAAAAAATACGGCCTGTACGAAAGTACAAGTACCAGCAAATGTCAAAATTCCAAACACTGGTTCCTGGGAAGAGCCGGGTTGAAAAAAACGGGTTTTCAAAATTATCTTCGTATCGGGTCAGGAATGTTACGGGTTGAGAAGAAAAAGTCCGAGTTTCGGGTAACTCATGACATCCCTGTATCAGGTCGAAAAGGATTTTGTCCGTGGCAGCTAAAAAAATTTAAATTCGGCCTAAATTTGAGAACAGATGTAATTGCATCTATTTTTTCTTTCAGGACACAGCCCATCCGTGACACATAAGTATTATTTGTTTATAAGGTGCTAAATATTTAAAAATATTAGATGATAAAAGTTGGAGAGGGCATTAACTACTTTACTTATCTTTAGAGGTTTAAAAACTGACGCATACAAACATATCTGTAGGATATAATCGTCATATCCGTATCCAACGATATCCGAAACTTATCTGTATATATTAGTGAATAGGCACTTTTAACATCGACTTCAAGATAGAAATAGAAGTGTATAAGAAAAGATCCAATCGACTAACTTTAAAAAAGAATGTGAAAGAGAAAACGTTAAGCTTTCTCTGGCTGGTCAGTATTACCAACAAAATGTTCGTTGAAAGAGAACTTCATTAAGACAACAAAAAGCTGATTAGTACACACTTGGTTAGCCACACTTGGACTCAAACATTCTTGCTCCGAATATGCGGCTCACTCCCATTCTAACTTTCAGTTCGGAATTTTGCAGTCTTACACGAGGAACGGAAGTGTACTTCAGTCCTGATTTGGACAGTTAATCTGTGTAGAAAGAATAGAGGGCCGAAAGCCAAGAATGACCTGTTCGAAATCCGACCAGAATTCTGGGATATTGTGCAGGATTGGGCAGGCTCAACACATACAACAAATGTGTTTACGGCCAGAGACCCTAGACTGACTTCTATTATAAAGGATATGAGGAGTGGAGCCAAGTATGATATTTAGCTCCAACAGTACAGTAGTTAATACGACCCAAATCGCCCCCCCCAAATCGCTCACCTGCCCAAATCGCTCTTCCTTTTTTCGCTCTTCGACCCAAATCGCTCACCCCTTTTGAGACCTGTCACATCAAACCTGAGCCTATAGGGGGTATTTTCTTTTGAACTTGCCGACAATCCTAAGGGATTAAAGGGGGTTTATGCCATTAAGTTTGTTTGGTACAACCCAAATCGCTCACATCCCAAAATTTACTTCTTTTGATGCCTTTTTATTTTTGGTTATGCCGTCGACCTACACCTACTGAAGAGGTTCATCGGTAATTAATAAAAGAGGCTAATTAATCATATTTAAAATGATTAATTACCTTTTGAAGGTAGGTGATGATAGCATGTCAATCAGAACCTTCAAGTAAATAGAGAACATCTGGGAGAACATTTGGGATAAGTACTAATAGAGAAGTTTAAAAGCGAAATAGTGGTATGTTAGACTCTAGAGTCTCAGTTCATTTTTTCAAATATTGTCCAAAATGACCGGAAGTACAAATGTAAGGGTTTAAATTATTATTTCGAAATACCACTTTCAAAATGTCTAATGACAAAATGCCAACTTTCATTATGCTAAATGACAAAATGCCAAGTGTAAAAATGTCAAACGACAAAATGCAAATCTCAAAACGTAAACTTCAAAATACTTATTGGAGGGGATTTTGAATTTAAAATCTTCTATAGTTTTCGTATACTGTGAATTTCAGTCTGGGGCTGGAATATTTGAGTCTGAGAATTATTTAAAAATGAAAAATATTAAAAAATATATTAAATAAAAATAAATGCGGAGAAATAAAGTTTACAAGATTTTACAAAAAAATTAAATGATTTGCAAAATTGACGCAAGACAGAATGCAAGGGGAATTAACCAATTATTTTAAAATGTCAAACGACAAAATGCCTACTTTCAGAATGTCATTTGACAAAATGCAAACTTTAAATATGTCAAGTGACAAAATGTCACACTTCGAAATGTCTTTTTAGGTGTCTAATCAATATTCCATTAATAAAAACTTATAATTATTATTAGACTAATAAAATATTATTGTTAATCAAAACTTGAGCACCATTAATTAATTAATTTAAATTTTAATACGAAGTTAATTTAAGGTCAATAAATAGAAGTTATGGTTTTAAATAGAAGATACAATTTTTGAAAAGTTAAAAGATAGAAGGTGTAGATTTTGGCGGTAAAAATGCAAAGTTACGAGTTAGAAGATATAATCCATGCAAAGTTAAGCATAGTAAATACAATTGATGCAAAGTTAAGAGAATATCACATATTTCAGTAAAAATAGGCAAAAATGATGGGGCGATGTTGTACCTCATCTGAAAATTAAAATTCATTCATGATAAAAATAAAATATCACTAATAAAATATCGCTATTTAAATTAAAAATTTCTTAAAAACTAAGCATTTGAAAAAATCTTTAATTTCTTTATTAAACCAAATATTTTTAAAATGTTTATATTTTCAATAATATTAATATCTATTATGTCCTTAGTGGTAGACAGTTCGGAAAATAAACCCAGAAATAGAGAATTAGTGACAACATTATTTCGGAAAACACCACTACCAATCTGGCGGAGAACACCTCCACCAATATCTCCTAGAAAAGATAAAAATAATACAGTGGAAATACCAATATGGCGTAGAACACCCCCACCAATATTTCCTAACAGAGATATAAATGACTCGGGGGAATTCAGACGAGGCGATAAATTAAACAATAGTTCATTAAATAAAACTGATGGGAGGGAAAAATTATTCATGAAATGGGTTGTAAAAGATATCTATCACCTGAAGAAGAGTGATATAGCAAGAAAAATTGAAATAAAAAATATGGGGCGTTGGATTCTACGTTGGGACCTTTGGGACAACAAATTCAAATTTGGAAAACATAATAGAACAGATTTCATCATGTATTCAAGATGGCGATTTTTATATGAACCTCCCATTTCAAATATTATAGATTTTTTCAAAAATTTGTAAATCATTTTAAAAATAATTTTTTATTTTTGATATTAATAATCATTTTCCTATTTAAATTTATAATTTGTTTAATATTTAAATAAAATTAAATTTCTGAATCAATCAAAATATTACGTTTTTCCCATTGATTGGTTTTACCTTCTATTTCAATCCACAATATTCCGGGTCTCGATTTTGCATTAGTGGATGTAGGTAAGCTTCCGACGGATAATGGAATACTATTGAGACTGGTTGTTGATGTAAACGAAGTTGCACGTGTGCTCCGTGTTTTGAAAGTTATACCGCTTGATTTTGACGAGGGTGAAGTAGGAGCAAAACATACCAGCTCAAGTGGGAAGTATCTCTCGCAAATTCCATTCTTTGTACTTGTTCTTACGATAACACATTGATGAAACGGATATTGGAGTTTTATCTTGTGGTGAGCATAAAAATACGCCGCAACCGATATATTAAATGGATAACCTAAATCGCCAAATGCTTTGACTAAATGTGCTCCTGATGTTGTAATTCCGTCACATCTAATTCCATACCTCAATCCATTTCTATCTGAATAAGTTGTCTCTACCTTCCCGCTTTCATTTATAAATTTTGCGATCATATCGGCATTTTCTTGACACATTAGTCTATATCTCACAAGATAATTTGGGCAGTTCAATTTTTTTGAAATTTCTTCCAGAATCGAATTCATTTTTATTGATTAATTTAGAATGTTTGCTTAAAATATCAAATGACTTGAACTAATAAGATTATAGAAGATTTTGCCTTTTTATATGCTAAATTTACACATATAAACTGGCAGCTATTACGAAATCTGGGAAAGGGCGGGACTTGTTCAAATATAAAGGCAATATATTTACAACTCTCATTCGTCTGTTAATTTATTCTTTCAAAATAAAATTTAAAATTGAAAATAGCCAACCTTCATTCAAATTTTTGAATTCATTTATAAAAATATTTAAATATGTCAGTAATTGAGAATAACTGTCAACTCTTGGAAAAAGTTATCCCTGAGATATTATTTACGGTTTCTTCGTATGGGGTGACAATTTCTTCACCACGGCTCATGACAGCACGTTTTGTGGAGTTTGACTTAGCAGGGAAATGTAAAAGTTGTAAAGGGGAAAATGTGGACATTGATTTTATTGTTACTCCAAAGGATGTAACCTTATATTGCAATCGCCTAAAATCTGAAAAGGTTGTAATGTTTGACCATATTTACGAAATTCCACAACAATGTATTTTTCGCGTTAAATCAAGAGGGAAGAATTTCAATATTATTCACAAGGAACCAGACTGGAATGAAAAAGATTTTATAAAAGGAGGTGGGCAAACGAATATCAAGGAATTTTTATCGAAGTTTTCACACAAGAAAACAAAGGTAGAGATAGAAGCACAAGAAAAGAAAGATGATAAAGAAAATATATTAGAAGAAAAAGATAATTCAAATACAACTCTTAATCATTAATCATTTTTATTTTTTATTTTCAATTCATTGTCAATCATGAACTATCAAATATTTTCAAATAAAGATTTAAAATTAAAACTTCCATTCGGCTGTATTATTAGCGGCCCAAGTTCAACTGGAAAAAGTACGTTTGTCCGAAAATTAATTTCCAATTCTGATCAACTTATTGAACCTATTCCAAAATCCATTCTTTACTGCTATGGGGAATATAATTCTCTTGTTCCCGAACTACAGCGAGCCGGAGTCTCAGTTTATTCCGGAGTTCCCCCTGAGGAACTTATTAAGAAGCAAGAACAACCTGCATTAGTCATTCTTGACGACCTAATGTACTCAATTGACGAAAAATATTTATCGGAACTTTTTACAAAGAAATCTCATCATCTAAATTTTGGCATAATTTTCATCACACAGAATCTTTTCGAGAAAAAACTTAAAGTCGCACGTAAAAATTCTATGTATATTGTATTAACACGCGCACCAAATAGTGCATTGGCCGTTCGAAATCTGGGAGTACAACTATTCCCAGGAAGATTAAATTATTTTCTAGACGCATATCGACAAGCTACAAGCAGCAGTAATTATTCATATCTTTTTATTGATTTACACCCTTCATCAGACCCAAATCTTAGACTAAGGACAAATATATTTACAGAAAAAGAATCAGAAAATAATTATAATTCATTGCCTATAATATTTTTACCAAAAAATTCTTCAAATTAAATCATGTCAACTAATATTAGCCAAATTGTTAAAGACAATTTACAATTTATCAAACAACTCGCAAAAACACGCTCATTAACTAAAAGAAGAAAACTTTTAAAAAAAGCTTCAACAGACCAGTTACTTTCCCTAACTGAAATTTGTTTTAATATAGTACGCGATCAATTTAAACTAAATAAAAGGCAAAAATTTCGTCTTCTACCATTCGCTGATTTTGTTCGCCGTTTGAGTAGGTTAAAAACAGAAGGAGGAGCCCGACGTACAGTAATACAAAAAGGAAGCGGTTTACCAGTTGGTTTATTTCCTGCCCTTCTAACACCAATCATTATTGAATTAACAAAGACATTAACAAACAATATATAAAAATGGCAAATAAATTTATATTAATTCCTGAAGATATATATCGCGGATTACTTACTCAACAACCCACACCAGAAACTGGAAATATCAATTTAGATTTCACTCGAGAAAATTTGGAAAATATCAAAAGTCAAAATGCCAACACAGAATTAAAAAATATAAATTATAATCAGGAATTGAGACGGTATTTACACATGTTGAAAGACCAAAATGAGAGACCAATGAATGTTTCAATAAGACAAATGCAAGATCCAGCCCTGGAGCAAATTAAAAAATTACTTCCCCTACTACAAACAAGCACCAATGAAAGCCGTACAGTAGTCAAAAGCCCGCAAAATGATTTTAGGCAAAATATTACCGCATCAAAATTGCCCCAGATAAATGAAAATACTGAAGATGAACTTAGTATGCACACGGCCGAGGAGGAATCTCCCGATTCCAATGGAAAGACTGAACCAAAAAATACTATAAAAGAAAAAACAAAGGAAATTTTTGAAAATATGAAACAAGAAAATCTAGATAAATATGACGTGAGCACAGATGGAAAGATTTTAAGTAAGAAGGGAGGAAAAGAAATACAGGGAAGCAATGTTCAAAAATCTATAGAGTGCATTCTTCGAACTGGAATAAGTGGGAAATTGAGATGGGGTGAATTGACACCACCTGGAACATCTGTTTTAGAAAATAAGTTAAAAAGTGATAATAAAATTTGGCCGTTGATTGAGAAAGCACGAGAAAGTTCTACTCCAAAAAGAACTTATTCAAAACAAAAAAGAAAAATATCTGAATCCAAAGAAATAGTTGAATCAAAATGGAGACCCCCAACAGAGTGGAAATGATATTAAATAAACTTTACAATGATCCGGCAAATCCAGCAGGATTTGCTGGTTTAAACCAGCTATGGACAGAGGCTAGGAAAAAAGATGCGAGCATTAAAAAGAAGGATGTTGAGGAATATTTACAAGGTCATAGAACATATACAATTCACCGTCCCAGACGTGTACACTTTAAAAGATCAATAACATATCCGTCTGGATATATGACAGATGTTCAGTGCGACTTGGCAGATTTTCAAAAGTTATCGCGGCAAAATAATGGAAAGAAATATGCACTTGTTGCAATAGATGTTTTAAGTAAAAGAGTTTTCGCTGAACCTGTTCGCACCAAAAAATCAAACGATATGATTGATGCATTTGAAAATATTTTGGAAAGAATGGAAATGCACCCCCACCGAATTTTTAGCGATAAGGGAACAGAATTTTGCAGCAAAGAAATTATGGACTTTTTTAGAAAAAAAGATATTGAAAAATACACGGCAACTTTCTCAGAAGTCAAAGCATCCCTAGCTGAAAGATGTATTCGGAACATTAAACAGAGATTGTACAGGTTTATGAGTGAGAAGCATACATTAAAATGGACAGAAGCACTATCAAAAATAGTTGGCGCAATAAATCATTCAAAGTGTAGGGTCTTAGGCGGATTAAGGCCAGTTGATGTAAGCTTTAACAATGCAAAAGAAATCAGAGAAATGGTATTTGGCCCTATTGGCAGAAATAAACCTAGAAAAAAACCACGCTTTAAAGAAAATGATCACGTGCGTATGAGTAGAAGTAAAAATATTTTTTCAAAGGGTTATCTCCCAAATTACAGTGATGAAATTCTTCAAATAGATCTTGTTAAAAATAAGGCTAATCCCAATAGATACCGTGTCCGTGACGATAATGGTGAATTGTTCAAGGGATATTTCTACCCTGAGGAACTGATTAAAGTAAGAAAAGATGAGAATACCAGCTACAGAATTGAGAAAATTATTAAGAGCAGAAAGAAAAAGGATGGAGGAAAAGAATATCTTGTAAAATTTTTTGATTATCCTCAACCCCATTGGATAGATGAAAATCAATTTGTATAAAAGACCAATTTTTCATTCCCCATAAATCATTTTTACATTTTTTAAATCAATTTTCATTTTATTGTTTAATTTATAATTATTATTGAAAATAAATAATGGCTAATACATTCTTTGTTGTTCTTCCTAGTAATGTTAGCGATTATCCAGATAATAAGCCCAATAAATACAGAGTACATCTCCCTAAGCCAATAGAATTTCAAGGTGGAAACTGGGTATGTGGGCTCTACAGTATCCAATACCCACAGTCATGGGCTGCAACCATTGGCACCGACGTTAAACAATGGATCGAAATTAATTACTAAGAGCAGAAAGAAAAAGGATGGAGGAAAAGAATATCTTGTAAAATTTTTTGATTATCCTCAACCCCATTGGATAGATGAAAATCAATTTGTATAAAAGACCAATTTTTCATTCCCCATAAATCATTTTTACATTTTTTAAATCAATTTTCATTTTATTGTTTAATTTATAATTATTATTGAAAATAAATAATGGCTAATACATTCTTTGTTGTTCTTCCTAGTAATGTTAGCGATTATCCAGATAATAAGCCCAATAAATACAGAGTACATCTCCCTAAGCCAATAGAATTTCAAGGTGGAAACTGGGTATGTGGGCTCTACAATATCCAATACCCACAGTCATGGGCTGCAACCATTGGCACCGACGTTAAACAATGGATCGAAATTAATTACAAAAGCAAAAAACCATTTAGAACAGGAATTCCCAAAACAACACAGTTAACACCCAATGGGCTCAGCTTCTTTTTAAAACTTGTATTATCCAATAAAGAGAAACCTAGGAAAAGACGTGATGTATCAATCGATACTTTAGAGGATGACATTATTATTATTGGGCCAGAAATTAATTTAAAGGACGATCCAATTAAGAAACGAAGAAAGAGAGAGGAAGATAGAGATACCGTACCATTATGGGTAAATGAATTTTTTAATACGTATCCACACAATTATTGGGAAGCCATACGCGATTATGAACAAGAATTAGAGCAACATAAAGTTAAAATAGAGGAAAAAACAAAACAAGTTCTTAATCAAGAGGATGACATACAGAAAGAAGAACTTGTTCATCTTCATTCCCTTTCAGAAGGTAAGAAGAAGGAAATTCGCCTTTTAACAGAGGAGGCTAATAAGAGAGATAGGCTTGATGGTCGGCTTATTGCAAATCAGTTTCTGGAACAACACCCTGATAATTATCACGAACAAGTAATAAAGATGGAGATAAATATCATATTAAGATACATTGAACTAGAAGATAAAATTAAAGAAAGCAGAGAAGAGGGTGGTAAAAATGTTCGTTCTGGTGAAGAAATTCAAAGGTTTATTAATTCAATAAAACGTATGCGAAAAAACTTGGAAGTACTGGAATCTGCAATAATTGAAAGAGAATTGAAAATTACTAGAGATGAGTTCAATCAGCAAAATTCAAATACTCACTCAGAATTTGTCCAAAAATTTTTTGACGACCACCCTGAAGATCATTGGGCAGCTTTGAAGAAAAATTTAGGTGATCTGCAGGAATTACATAGACAAATTCGAGAAAAAAGAGATTTACATTCTCAAGAACAAGATGCAGAAGAAAAGAATAAATTAAATAAGGAGATTGACAATTTAAATAAATTGGCTTCATACAGAAGAAATAGATTTACAGCGATACATCATGCGGCCTACAAGAAATGGAAAAATTTTGAGTTGCCAATTCCACCAACTAAAAATGAAATTAAGGAGATGCAAAAAATTGAAGAGAAAACACACCCAGAATATTTAGAAGATGCCTTGAAAGTAGATGATAAAGGCAAGCCAGTACCAATTCCTGCTCCGGTAATTACAGGTGAAATGTTTGAAGTTGTCAAGGACAGACATGGGTATGAGCAGGACAAGGCCAGAGAATCAGAGGAAAATGAAATAAAAGATAAAGCTCTGAAAGAAAGTAAGGAGAAATTGAAGCATGCAAGAAGAATAGATAAGCATGGTGATCCTATACCACTTGACTC